TTTCCAACAAATGTTACAAGTCCAATACTGTCATGGTGGTCTTCCGTCACTTTTGACCAAAAATTTTCTGTTTTGAATTTTAAAATTCACAATTATACGCAAATTAACTGGTTGGGCTATTACCACACCGCATAATTGAGTCAGAAGACTGAAATAAGAGGTTGAAATGAGATCAGATCCAGATGGATTAAGCTGTGATAAAAGATTTGCTGTTTATTTTTTTTATTTATTGAGTTTTACTGTTATGTGTAACAAAATGCTTTCTCTGTATTCAGGTTTGACTGCAATAATAATGCAAATATATATTTTTTACTGACTCTTGTGTGCATGATCTGAAAGCACTGTTTGATTTTGAGCACAGATAAAATGTTGTTTTTTTTTTTTTAAAGAAGAGTCAGATGTTCTCTGAATGTAGTTTGAAAATTTGGTTTTGTGTTTAAGGTTTTAAAAAATTAATGATGTTTCCAAGAAATGTGTTTTAGCAATTCAGGAAACCTGTAGGTTAATATTAAAAACATGCATACTATTTTTTATACATATCACACAGATAACAAACTAATAAAAAGTGAATCTAATCAAGCATAATCTCAGTCTTAATAAAATTACTGAATTATCATAATCTTTCACAAATAGACATCATAAATGTTAAAGTGGAAAGGTTTATTTAAAAAAAATGTATAAGAGTTCTAATATTACATTTAGACATATCAGCTGAATATACTTTACTTTGTAATTAAGGTTCGTTGATTTTCATGTCTGCCACATATAAACAATGAGCCAAAACGAAATTATTGATAATTTTCATAAAATCATATATAACACGTTCCTACGTGTGCTGACGTGTTGTTAACGCGTTCCTATGCAACCTGATCTCACAGAATTCCGTGAAATGAACACGGACCCTTAACTCAAAATCCGTGGCAGTTTCACGGAATTGCCGAAAATTCCGTGATTTGCCCACGGAAATGATGCCTATGTAAGTCAATGACAGGCAGCATCCGTGTTCCACACACGGACAGTTACAACACACGCGCTCCCCCAAATTGACGTCGTTTTATAATTTGGAAAGGTATCGCTTTAAATATTCTGAGTTTACCTAAAGTACTTTACTTTAAATATTTAGTTTTAAGGTGATTTTAACTTGATATTGCATTGTTCTGTCGTCGTTTGATCGCTAGGATAACGTCTGGTCACCCTGAATTCCGTGACCGTACCACGGAATATTCAGTGGTCGCCACAGATTGTTTTCACCTTCACTGGACTGGACGATATAGCCTATTGCTGATTTTGACACTTTAGGCCAGGGGTCTCAAACTCAACTTAACTGGGGGCCGCTGGAGGTAGAGTCGGGGTCAGGCGGGGCCGCATCAAGTATTCCACAAAAAATAGTATTCAAGTATTCCAAAAAAGGAGCACAACTGATCCAATCTTCTCAATATTTATTATTAACGTTTCTTCTGAACTGTTCCTCTGAATTTGAACATTCCTTTCTGTACATGATTGGTTCTTCATGAGCTGTCCTTCTGACAGTTGAAGTTCATTTTACAAACTTCCTATCGTCGATAACACATATTTGTGATATTTATATTTGCTTATGTCCTTTTTATTTTCTTTATACAACACATTAATGATATTGAATGTTTTTTTTGGAAGGCACATTTCCTTTTATTATACTTAGAAAAACAATTATTGCTTTTGAAATACAAATATTTGCAGTCATGTCTGCCCGTCTTATTAAATTTCTTCTACACATGTATAGTGTCTCAAATTACTGACTGCACAAATCAAAGCAAACCTTCTTATCAACCTGTTGGACACATATTACAAGCTCAAAATGATTATTCTCACATTGTTTTAGAGCAGGGGTCTCCAACACGTCGCTCGCGAGCTACCAGTAGCTCGTGGCCTGATTGGTGGTAGCTCGCCAAGGGGGCGTTCACATATCGCGCTCACATATTTTGCGCGCTCAAGTTCGTTATTTCAAATGTAGGCGCGCGGCAAGCGCGCTCATAATTGAAGCGACGCGCTCATTTTTTCCAGGCGCAGTATGTTTGTACTTCGCGGTTGTCTATGACAACTATTGACAACAAACCCACCGTAAGCTGTCACGAGACTATCTATGGTAGCCCATAAGGGATAATTTTATTTTATTTTTTAAACGCGGCACACGCAACGACGGGCCGCACTAACATTAAACTTTAATGTCAAGTAGGGGGCCACAAAATATCACCCCGCGGGCCGCAAATGGCCCGCGGGCCGCGAGTTTGAGACCTCTGCTTTAGGCTATTCAAGCTGTCTGTGTTTGCAATGAAATGTAGCCTCATTAAACTGAACATATTATCTCCCCCGATCAGTTTGTAACAGTTTTTACTTATTGTCAAATTCTGTGATGGCACCACGGATTCTTCCGTGACGGGACCACGGAATATTCAGTCGTTCGCCCACAGATTGTTTCACCTTCACTGGACGATATAGCCTATTGCTGATTTTGACACTTTAGGCTATTAAGTTGTCTGTGTTTGCGATGTAGCCTCATTAAACTGTGAACATATTATCTCCCCCGATCAGTTTGTAACAGTTTTCCTTATTGTCAAATTCTGTGATGGCACCACGGATTCTTCCGTGACGGGACCACGGAATTCTTCCGTGACCGTACCACGGAATATTCAGTCGTTCGCCCACAGATTGTTTTCACCTTCACTGCTCGAGATTGCCTATTGCTGATTTTGACACTTTCAGTAGGCTATTCAAGTTGTCTTGTGTTTGTGATGCATGTAGCCTAATTAAACTGTGAACATATTATCTCCCCTGACCAGTTTCTATAGCCTTTTGCTTATTGACAAATTCTGTGATGGCACCACGGATTCTTCCGTGACGGGACACACGGATAACCGGATATAACTAGAGGCAGGCTTGATCAATCAAACTCCCCATCCATCATCTTGTGTAAATAATATTTGGACTAGTTTACAATTTTTTTTATGTTTACTCAATTGACAGATATAGGCATATACAGACAACGAAAAAAAAAATGATAAAGACTAATTATAAATTAATGTTAAATCGGACGAGTCTGTTGCCATGACGGCGACCCCACTTTCGCGGTTTTTCCGTCATTGCGAGGATCCCCTCTACAAATCGGTATGTATCTCAGACCTGCTACTTATTTACTATCTATAAATGTTGAATTATAAGTTTTAATGCGTTTTAGATGGCTTGTATTGTTGATTGCTAAATAGTTGACATGATATCGTGTCTGTAGTTGTTTTTCTCTAAAAAAAAGTATGCGTTTTTACATTACAAATATTTAATGTTTTCTCAAAATGAGTTTATTTTTTTTCATCCATCCAGTAACGTTACCAACATCTCATCCTATGTAGCACCATCATGTACACCAAAAAATATAGAGAAAATCGATTTTTTTCTCCAGTATTATAAGTAGGCTAATGAAAGCATCATACCTGCCAACTTTTGAGTTTTGCTCGGCGTGAGATTTGTTGACGGGGGGGGGGGGGGGGGGGGGCATGGTGGTAGAGACGAGTGAAATTTGTTGACGGGGGGGGGGGGCGGTCTCGCTCGCGCAAGGTCTCTCGCTCGCTCTACGCGGTTTGGAGCACAATCTCTGTCTCGCATGCACGCTCGCTCTAGATAACGGGAGATTTTTAACGAATTTGCGGTATAACTAGTCGATCACGAGTGGCTCAACAGGTAGATATATAGATAAACTCATCTTCCAGGCATTTGACCGCCCGGGTTGACACTTCAGCGTGAGAAATCGGGAGTGTGGCGTGTGAGCGTGTGAAACCAATCAAATGCGGGTGTCTCACGGTCAATGCGTGAGAGTTGGCAGCTATGAAGCATATAACGTTAGGCCCTATCCTGAAATCCGTCTGATATTCTTTTTCCATCTTGTGTGTAAACAAAATGAAAAAATAATTTTGCACCTGGCTTTATCATATGCATATGTTCAGATTTATGTTACCGAAAATATATATGCAAAATTGCGCATATTTAATGAGATAATGCCTACTTTGCATAATTAAACATACACATTGCAAAAACTTATAATACACTGTTTTTATATACTTAATTGTGTAATTAATCAACTGAGGAAGTTTCATGGTGATATCTATTATTTTAAAAGTTTACCCTATTCACCTGTAGTGTCTCGCATTAATGTAGACATTATATTTTTTTCTCAGAGATACTGTATATCTAATTATGCTTTCTTGTCTGTTCTACAGATTATTTGCTGTTTTACATATTATCTCCATTGCTCTATCTCTATCGTTTAAAAAAACAAAGGCACTTTTAAGAGCCACTCTTTCAATCTCTCTCTCTCACTCTGTTTCTCTCTTAAGTCTCTCACACTTTCTGTCTCTCTCTCTCTCTCTCTCTCTCTCTCTCTCTCTCTCTCTCTCTCTCTCTCTCTCTCTCTCTCTCTCTCTCTCTCTCTCTCTCCCCCACCCCCTCCTCTCTCTCTCTCTCACACACACACACGCGCGCGCACACACACACACACACACACACACACACACACACACACACACACACTCATCTTCATATCTGTATTGTGTGTCTATTGTCTGTATTTTTGTATTGTATCTGTGCGTATACCATGTCAGAAAACCACCCAGGAGTCTTTGAAGATCCCAATGAGGTCAGGGGCCATATGGCTGCTGAAATTAGCAAGGCTCTTCTCCGTGAGGCCAGGGTGAGAAGTTTTGATAAACTTACACCCATGTCTCTGAAAATCACTATTTACATATTGTTTGTTTGTTGTAGTTGCTGTTGTGGTATGATGTTCTAGACATTTAATAGACATTGGAGTAGTGTAGCATTTTATATCTTGTAGTTTTAGTTTTGTGTTTTTTATTGTTAGTTACTTTGGAAAAAAGCGTCCATCAAACATAACCATAAGTCTGATATTCTATCAGAAAATATTAATATTTTATTTTCATATAGGCTGCAATGGCAATGGGAAGCCATGTCCCTCAAAAAAGAAAGAGGACTAAGAGAGGGAAAGCAGTCACAAGCGCAGCGGCCACAAGTAACAGACGTAAGAAACGTCAAAAAGCAGAACGTCGTGCATTAGGTTCGTTGTTTATAGCACTGTTATAGTTTAATAATGATAATTATCTAAATGTTGGTGAGTGAAAAGATGGTTTGAGCTCACTGAGCCAGATGTATGATGTAATATTGTGAATTTTCTGGACTAAAATATATGATGCTTTACAGTAAGACCCTGATAGAATAGATAACCTATTGTATTGGCCTTTGCAGCTTCTGAAGTTCAAGTGATCACAGTGTCTGAGGAAGTCCCTCAGATCGAAGAAGAGATGACTGCAAGTCTTGGTGAGTATGTCTGTATAATCCCTATAACTACATTTCCTATTCCTCCATATCAACAACTTTTCTAATGACCCTGTAAACTTTTCCTCGATTCATTGTTGTTGATGTCTCACACTTCTTCTCCACGCAACTACATTAAGTGTTTGTATTTTGTTGTTGTAGACAGAACATGTGCATTATATTCTAATTTTTTACAATTCTGCACTCATTGCTTTTGCATAGCTTGCTTTTAGAAATTCTTGCCTATTTTGGGAAGTGATACACACTCCAACTCTTCATTTCAAAGTGGTCTATTATCGGAAGCATATTACACGGTTTGTGAGACCATTGTGATACAATGGTTCGTGATACCATGATCAAGTCCATATACAGTACATTAAACCAACATTGAATGGACACTGTCGTGTATGGCTTGGTCAAAGTCAGATTTTAAGTCATAATTATTGTCGTACCATTCAGTATTAAGTAATTTTTTATCTATTGTGCCTTCACTCAATCGAAGGGTTGTTTAACAGTTATTTATTTATTTTCATTTATTTTCAGAAACGTGTCTTCAACAGCTGAGGGACACTCTTGACTCAGTTGAGGTTAATGTGGCAGCTGAAAAAACAGCATGGGCACAGCGGCAGCTACACGCTGATACAAGGGCAAAAGCAGCAAGGCCAGTGCTGCTCGATGCTAAACTGTCCGCTGAAAGAGACTTCTACCAAAAATGTCACAGGTGCGGTGCCGTAGAGGCAGTAATTAGGGTGCCTGGATTGTGTGCCACTGGACATGGAGTATCTATGTGGAGGATGCGACATGGAGGCTCACAAAAAGAATGTGTTCCATGGCAGGGAGGCACTTTTCCATGGCTACCTGGAGCCTATTCCCCCCACAAAGGCTGTGGTGATGGGTGAAAACGGCCAGCCTCACTTTTGTGAGCAGAGTATGTTATGTTATTTATTAACAATTTATGTTGACTAGTAAAGGGTAATTACTAATTACACAAATATTCTTTGTTGATATACTTTGTCAATGGAAAAGGTTTAAAAACTCTTAATTTGAATCACTCTTTGATTGAAGAAATTGTTTTTGTTTGGCTTTGACTATGAAACATGCTATTAGTAAGCAAACAGTGATAATGACATGGTAGAGTTGTCTATTTTGTAGATGTTGGTTTTGAATCACTGATATGACAAGTGATATACCTTCTCGATTGAGGAAAAATGTAACAACCTCTTTGCATTGCAGTATGTCAGTTGCCATTGCCCGCACATAGGACACTATGTGAGTGCACCTATGAGATTGAGGTCACCTCTGGCAAGCATATTTCTGTGGTCACCATGAATGGTAAGTTTGGAAAGTCCTGCTTTTTGTTTCGTTGTACCGCAGAAGTTAACAATTGCAATCAAGGCAAAGCTTTTCTCTTGAGAAATATACCAATTGCCAAATGTTAATGCTATATCAAATACTACAGTGAATTAATAAGGGACAGTTGAGTTGGAAAAAGTTGATTCTGTGAAACACATGTTTAATGTGTCTCTTTTTTCACAGGGCGATATGATGTCTGTTTGCCCCGTAAAGTTTGTCCTACCTGCCTTGTGGAATGGACCCCAGGGGTGAAAGAGCTCCTCAGGTACCGTTACTGGCCAAGCACAACAAACTGCCAGACACTATATAGTTTTGATGTCTTTGAAGCTTTTGCTCACATCAAAGTATCGGCTCCTTCGATGTCAAGGCATGCCTTTCTAAAGCTACTGGAGCACCGTTCTGTTCAGGCTGGAAGGGTAAATCTGCTTGAATCATTGTTACACACAATCAAATTACTGTAATATTGTAATATTTTTTTTCTGTAAACACAATTTTTTTTTTTATGTCATAGCCGGGGAATGTCTGTGCAGATACGTTCCAGAAAAGCTTTTTCGAATATTGTTTTTGCAAGCATACAGAAGAGGTGATGTGTGAAGTAAATGACTTTGATTGTCCAGCATGTCACCCAGACATGTTGGCAGTGTGTTGCGATGGCAATCGCAAACATTATCGCTCCAAAAAATCAAGGGGGTATGTTCATATTACACAGGCATTAATCTCAATATCAAAACCCACAGCATTGTCATAGAAATAGTTGCATGTAGAGTCATGTTTGGTCAGTTAAAAGAGGATTTTTTTTGTGATCAATTTTAATGGACAGGAATGAGGAACCCTCTCTGTACAAGGGGTTATTTCTTGCCAAAGATGAGGAGGTATCAGCCTTTCTCAACAATGTCAGAGGCAGCAGCATGACAAGAGTATGTCTAATATTGCATATTAAGACAGTATATCTACTGCTTATGTTTGAGTGTCTTTTCTGTTTTCTATTTGTTAAGACGAGTGATATCTGACTTTACAGGCAGATAACAGTGGAACATGTGGCGTTTCAAGGTTCAGGGCGAGTAAGGAGACGTCAAAAAAATCATCGTCCAAAATAGATGAAGAGGGGATACAAGTGGCAGCCTGCAGGTATGTGGGTAGATCAGAAGTGTGCAATTGTACAGATGCCATTTGTTACACGCTGTGGAAACTCATTTGTGGATAAATGTATCAGAGTCATGTTTAATTTCCTTATGGGAAGTAAAGTAAATCCCCTTAACAGATTTTTTTCCCTAGAAGATTGTTTTAAAGCTCAGTTAGTCACATATGTAGAGATTGATGGGGAAATGTGTGTGTGTGTGAGAGAGAGAGAGACTGAGAGGCTTTGAATAGAGGGTTTTGATTAGCTTTGTTTTCCACAGGTCTCATTGTGTAAATTGATCATTAACCATATTGTCCTCTTGTGTATCAGACACGGGATATTGCTGCGAGGACTGAACCACTACCGTGGCGAGGTCTTCGCCTACCCAATGTTTTTACAGAGGGAATTGTCAGAGAGGGCCAATGTCACTTTCTTCTGCCTGGATGTTGTCTGCAGGTAATTTTTCTCTGTCATATTGAAACTCGGTCAACCTACTGTACATTAAGTGTCAAGTGCCTGTTTTTTTTTCAGTCGTTTTATATTGATGGCCAGGCAAAGTGTTGGTTAATGCCTACTAATGCTGTGCTTCTTTTTAGGTACTGGCCATACCTAAGCAAAGTGACTGAAGAATCATCAGATCTTCAACCGCTGATGGAAATGAGGCCATTTCTCAGTGTGATGCATGCCAAAGCTCATACAGCAAAATGCGAGGTACCTCAAATTACTGAAATTCAGATGCAACAGTAGCCAGCAGGCAGCTAATGCGAAAAGCCGAGCAATGATTGTTTTTTATTATTTTAATCTGGTATTAGTGGCAATATACTAAATTGTAAGTCTTTGATTATGATATCTTGTGTAGTATATTATGCAGATAAAATATGACACCTTTAATGTGAAAGTGATTTTAATGTGCACATAATCCATGATTGCATAACATTAGATTTTTAAAGTTATGGTATGAAATTAATCCAACACTATGTTGCAGGTGAGATGGGGCGGCAGGAATCAGGATGGAGCAGGGAACACTGTTGGAGAGGAAGTTGAGCAAGTATGTTATCACCGACATTATTGTAACTATGTAGATATAGGAGACTTCACTAATACATTTATGTGTGAGACAAACAGAGTGTGAAGGATAAAGTACATCAGGGTATCAAACAAAGATCTATGCTTGCTCGAATGACCATCAGAGCACAACACACATTGTCACAAGTGCAACACACATTATGTCTCCTCTGGGTAAAAAGTGAGTAGTGGTGGTGTCTGCATGATACATCACTATTTCAAGTTATGTTCCCTCTGAGCTGCACTATTTAATTATATACACTCTTTTGATCCTGTTAGGGAAATTCAGTCTCTGCATTTAACCTATCCGTGAATTAGAGACGCACATACACAGCACACAGTGAGGACACACACACTAACTCCTAACCACTAGAGCAGTGGGCAGTCAGCTGATGCGGCGCCCGGGGAGCAGTGAAGGGTTTGGTGCCTTGCTCAAGGGCACCTTAGCCGTGGATGTGGACAGGACAGCGATGTTCAACAACTTTCCCCACCCACTTTCACTTTCCACACAGCCACTTTCCTCCTGGTCGGCATTCGAACGAGACACACGCCCAAGGCCCTAACCAGTAGGCCATGGTAGACTTTTTCCAACCTACCAGTAGGACCCCATTTGACACACCAGCCTGGTGACAGTGCAAAATCATCAAATTTCATGGGATTCTATGAAAATGCCGATTGTCACAGCTCTGGCATGTCATTGTGAGGTTTTAAAATGTAGACCCAATTGGCAAGACCCAACTTTGAAAAATTGGGCTTGATCTTTCCTATTTTGCTGTCTATGGCTATGGCTGAAAGGGCGTGGTCGCTTTAGTTTCCATGGCATTTTAAGATGGAGAGCTAGTTGACGATAAGATATTAGTTCAACAATAAGTATGGCTACATGTTCATACAGTATGTTTTTGTTTATTTGTTGTTGTTTTTTGGTAATGTAAAATAGGAATACATTAATTTCTGTATTGTTTATCTAGGTAAACAGCTTTCTCTCCAGGGCAGCTCTTGTCACAAAGTACATGACAAAGGCAGGTTGGTATGACACATTAGAAACCATACTCTGTGATGAGGTATTTCTGACTTGTAAAATGTAATTTTCCTGTTCTCCTTGCACTAAAGTATTTGTTGTGTTAGGTTGTGTCTAACTGCAATGGTCTTTCCCATGTAAATTGATCCAATCACGCATGTAGATTTATTTTTTTAATCAGGGAGAGAGAATATGCTCACTCAACAGGCCATGGGGTGGAACAGAAAAAAGACAGAGAACCTTCACAAAGTCTTGGCCCGCAGATACATCAAAGTAAGGACATTTCCCAATGGTCCTCTTGCCTGACACAACATACATTTTAACAACAAACAGCAGAGCTGGAGTCCATCCATCTGTAATAAGCTCATTCATTCATTCATTTATAAACTGTAGATGAAGGAATTTCTTGATCCCGGGATTGGCTGAAAGCTTGCATGTTATTTTTTTATTTTTGTGTGATTTAAAGATCTCCGAGAGGGCAAAGCTGGAAGCTGCCAGCTTCAGTGATTTCTGCCAGAAGAATGACATCACTGAACAAACAGCACAGCAGTGGGTGGGTGATGTTCAGCAGTGGGCAGTCACAGGTAAATCATGCGTAGCGCTCAGATTTTTCACAAATACAACTGTTAATTACTTTGTTCAAATATGAACTACTGTACATAAGGTGATCAGACATTTTTAAATGAAACAACCGTTTAATTGTGTTACCTATTTAGAGCCAGTTAGCACAACAGAACAGGGAGCAACAGAGGATCTCAGGGCTGAGATAGAGAGCATCATAGTGGCCCTGCTACGCAAGAAGCATGACCTCTATCGTCAGAATGGTTGGTTGACTAATATTCAAATGGCACATTGTAAATGCAAACAAACAAAAACTGTTTTCCTGATAGTTTTCTTATTTCACTTTGCTGATAGCAATCAAACAAGACAAAGAAAAAGAAGAAAAATAAGAGAATTTAAAAAAAAACTGAAACAAAAGATCCTGCTGTACAAAGCAATTGCAGAGGATACAATTGACGAGGAGTTGGCCTTCAATTTGACAGAGGACTACATCCTGCCTTGGGAGAGACGTGAGGATGGTATGGTAGTCCTGACATGTTCTCTAAAATGTATGCCTGTCTTTTTTTTTTTTATATAAAAAAAAAAAAGTATTTTATTGCAATCAAAATCTCTCTCTCTCTCTCTCTCTCTCTCTCTCTCTCTCTATATATATATATATATATATATATATATATATATCTTTCTCTCTCTCTCTTGTATGTTTGGGTTTATAACTTAATCATCATAAATACTAAATCACTTTTTCCATCAATTCCCTCTACTTAAAGGTCGCTCCTTCAGGTTAAAACGGTCTCTTTTTGACCAAATGATGCTAGTTAGACGCCTTGAGGAGGAGCAGAGTATCCTGGTGAAGGAGATGTCTCAGCACATCACGTCTCTTCGTAAGGAGATAAAGGGAGTGGAGAAGCTAAAAGAGAACATCAGAATGGGCTGTAAGTCAAATTTGGAGTTTTTTTTCTCACTAACATATGTATAGTCCCTTTTCTACTGAATGGTACCAGTTCAACTCACCTCAACATGACTCTACTTGGTTTGGTTTTAAATTTTTGGTTTCATTTTCCACTGCATAAAAGTACCATTTCAAGTAACTGGTTGCTATAGCAACACTGAAGTAAACTATCTTAGCATCACCATTGTGTAAAAGTTGGTAACATCAATCACTACAGCAGAACAGATAAAATCAACAGTATTCTGAATTCATCACAATACAGACATGTTTTTGGGGAGATGGCAATATTTACTCTATCGGCCGTCCTGTCTTGCTAACACTAAGCTGCTGCTGAGGGCCTGCTCAGAACGTTAACATTATGATGCTAGCGATAACAATGGCCACAGAGCTATCTACACATCATTGTTGGAACTTCAACAGAGGTGGAACCAAAAGTGCTTGGTACCAGAGTCAAGTGGATCTGGTACCAGTCCGTGGAAAAGAGCCACAAGTTTTGTTTTTTCTATATTAGTCATACCACTCTGCTCCACCCTCACACTTTGTTTGCCCTATCCTCACCTCAACATAGCCCCCCCCCCCCCCCCCCCCCCCCCCCAATCACACACAGACAGTCACAGCTTCTGCAACCCCCCATCCCTTCACCGACTGCACTTTATACCCCCAATTTATGCAAAGTATAGGATGTCAAACACATACAATTTCTATGAATTTCTTACATACAATAACTATGCATATGACAATAAAATGCCCTTGTATTCCGTGTTTAAGTTTTCTTGCAACAAATAACCAAAAAATCTAAACAAAACAAAAAACAAGAAATTGAGTAACATCTTTCTGTCATATGTGGTTCTACATGCTATAATTTTGGAACAATACTTGTTATTCTTATGTTTATGTATGTTACAGATTTTGGTGACATGTCAGAGGATGCTGCAGCTGGTTTCAAACGTGTCCTCATGCGGAGGTCCTCTGCACTGAAGAGTTTATGCCAACAAGCTGTGAGCACGTATAGTGCTATAGTTGATGACCTCCAGATGCAGGACACAGAATGCAGAACGGACACTGATGACGAATATGACTTTAGTAGTCCAGAGTCAGAAGAAGATTAGAAAGGAGACCACTCTGTTTTGTTTAGTTTTTAAAGGGTTGGTTCGGGATTTTGGACATCGGGCCTCATTTCCAGGTGAGCCTTAGTGTTATTTATCAGTAGAGACATTTTTCAAAGATTTTCTTCCAGTCGTTCAAGTTGCATAGTTCGCCGGTGCTAGGCTAGCGCGAGTCAACGGTATCTGCTAGCCTGCCATTAAAAACAGTTTTACCCACTCCACAGTTCACCTAAAGCAAATAAATTATAACGCCAGACTGTCGATGTAAATGTCTGTTGAGAGAATAATGTTAGAAATTAAACTACTCTTGCATCTCAATGATCGCAATACATTTACAGGAACTAGTTTCTCAGCAGCGGCGGGATTTTACTTTGCTCCGGTTAGTAGTACTACACCGAAAAGTAAACACAGAACAGAAGCGCACTACAGTCGGGACGTCTAGCTAGCTAGTAGTAGTCTCGGTTGCCTAGGTAACTTAATATCACTCCGCCGCTGCTGTAGACTGTGCTAATAAATACAAGGAACAAAATAACTATTGCAATGCAATGAAAGGGTAATTTGATTTCTAACATTATTCTCTCAACAGACATTTACATCGATAGTCTGGCGTTATAATTTATTTGCTTTTGGTGAACTGTGAAATGGGTAAAACTGTTTTTAATGGCAGGCTAGCAGATACCGTTGACTCGCGCTAGCCTAGCACCGGCGAACTATGCAACTTGAATGACTGGATGAAAATTTTTGAAAACTGTCTCCACTGATAAATAACAATAAGGCTCACCTGGAAATGAGCCCCGATGTCCAAAATTCCGAACCACCCCTTTAAAATCTGTGAACTTTCCATTATCTCTCACCCTTCCTGAATAATAACAACTACCCAGAACATTGCTTGTTCATTCTTCACACATCAGGCAAAAGATACAGAGGCATTACTAGAAGGAACATTATTGGTTGATGATTAATGATTAAGGGATAGTACTTACCCCAGGTTGCCTGGACACGCCTTCCTATGCACTTCCGCTCGATTATCATCTCCCTACAGTGCTAGTTTGGATTTGATTCCATTGAGCTGGTTGTCTCCGGTGGCAAGGAGTTGTGAACGCTGAGCTAGAATACTATCAGCCAAGACAAGCTATCAGTCAAGGGCTGATCCTATCTTTTTAAACTTCAACAAGCTCCAGCAAGCAATAATTTATCACTACCGAATGGCCAGACTCAGGCTAACTTTTATTACCAGGCTAACCCCCAAGCTTTCAGACACGTAAATATGCACTAACCCTATGATAATTCAGTTATCAACATTAGGTGTTGTTAAATGTGAAATTATTTTGCACTGCAACTTCATATACTACAATCATGAGTGTACATTGATATCAATGCAATATACTAAATGGATTGGCCCTCTGCATGGACTGTTGGACATGGACTGTTTTATGCATTCTGGACTGTGACATTTCAACTTTAGCACTTAAAGGACAATATGGAGCTCATTTATGCTCTATTGAATTTTCTTGTGTGTCGGTTGTGTGTTGTGGTACATGTGAGCACACAAAGATAGATTTCTTCAACTGTGGAAATGGCTACAATAAACTTGAATGTGAATTTGAAAATGTTGTAAATTATTTGTGATTGTAATTGAAGTGCATAAAGTACATAATTGCCTAGTAGTCTTCATTGAAAATCTACATTTTACAGTATACTGTCACAATATAAAAACTCTTCAGGATGCTGAAGTAGCACTGGTGATATCAAAAGTCAATAATTGTCCACTTTGGCAGTACTTAACATGCTGTGTTGACTTGACAGGTTAGAGCTTTGATAAAAAGCCATGAATCTTGTTTTTCATATATTCAAAACCAATGTATTTAAGCAGGATAGTATTTAAATTAATATGAAAAAAAGTGATCATTTCAGTAAGGGTGGTGATAGGTTCAGAGTTGGAAACGGGACAACAAGATCGTAGCCAGTGTCTGAAAGTATAATTAAGCTGCATGCCAGATGTCCACCAGCACTGTTGTTTTACACCCTCATATCTCTCATCCCTGGACATTGCTCAATTTACGAGTCGACCAACTCCTCATTGAGTAGGCCTATACCTGCCAGACACCCTCTTTTTTCAGAAAATGGAAAGTAGAATGTGTCTTTAAAAGCTATGATAAGCTTCAACTCCAAGTTGATTATGATTTTACTTGATTTGGATACAAAAAAATTGATTGACTTGATTGGTCTGCATTCAGGCTACACACCATTGTATCATCACTCATGGATCCCTATCAGTTTGCTTACCAGGCTGTGGAAAATGCCATCAACCTGGCTGTTTACTCTGCTACATTTGGAGTCAATTAACACCTATGCGTGCATAGCTTAGCATAAAACATGATAGATCCTCTCAATCTGTTCTCCAGCCTGCAAGTCATGAACAGCAATATAGCTCTGTGTCACTTGATACTTTCATATAATTAATTTGGTCAATTTTAATAATATGGAAACATGCCCTCAATACGGATAGGCCACCACAAGGCTGTAGAGAGGTAGTAGGAGCAAAAACTGTATTCTACTGTCGCTGGTGGCTCGTGCTACTCGCCTACTGTCCTGTACACTGTCCTGCGCCACTCACTTATTGTCCTGTGCCACTGGTCTATGGTCCCGCACCACTGTCCCGTGAGACTTATAAATTGTTAAAAACCTAAACCTAATCCTAAACCTAACCCATGGACAGTGACAAATGACTAGGGACAGTAGGCACATCAGATGGGATATTGAGTGAGTGCCATGTGAGAGTAGGCAAGTGTCACAAAACAGTATGAGTTGTGCAGGACAGTGCATGGGACAGCAAGTCAGTGGCACAGTGCACAGGACAGGTGGCACAAGACTGGCGCATGATGGGTGGCGCAGGACAGGTCACGAGACAGTGGATCAGTAGTGCAAACCACCAGCAACAGTACAGTACAGTTATCGCTCCTACTGCTGGAGGAGAAACGACCAAGATCAAGTTTGCAGGTGATACCCCCATCATCAGTCCTATCAGATACAGTATGAGTCTCAGTGCTCCATGGAGGTGAATTGGGATGTAGAATGGAGTACCAACAGCAAATTTCATCCTGAGAAGGAGGCCAAAGTCCCAGTTATTATAGTTGAGCCCTGATACTCTTACATTTATGGCGTCTCACATCAGACATAATTAATTGAATTGAAATGGGATATTAACATCCCACCTTATGAACAGGCACAAAAAACACATTAATCAGACATGATCTGGACATGTTATGTGTAAACAAACTCTTCTATAATGCCATATATCTTATTCATCACTACCTGGTATGGAAGGTCTGACAGACAGTCGCACTGGATGGAAATTAGAGAGGACTGACACAAAAGTCTCTGTTTATTTAGAAATAATTAATATATGCATAATTTCCAGTGAATAAAATTAAATAAAAAAAGGATATTTAAAGGTCTTCTTGTTGTAATCCCCCTTCCCCCTAATTAAGTCTTATTTCATTGTATATTATTTTGACCCAGCCCTCCCCTGGATACACATCAGCTTAACCATGCAAGGACAAATTCAATATTTTTTCAGCATTTACACTACCCATGTTAAAGTGTAGATTAAGTCTAGTTTGTGATATAAAGATGGTCCGCTGAACATCAAGAGGAAAAAGGACATACCTGTGACTTAGCAATAGACTGGCCAGTTATAACTACCACTATGATGAGGAAACTGATGGGACAGGACAGTGAGGACACTGTAGGAAGGATGAATAAGAACCTGTAGAAGATACACTATTGTCCATAAGGTAGATTCTGTCCATTATGGCTGGCATTAGCAAACATCCCTATTTAGCAAATGAATGGAGGACAGAATCCATATTAATCACATCTAGAGTGCATTCACCTCTAGCAACTACTGTAGTGTATTATAGTTAGAAATTAATATGAAGATTCATTGTATACAACAGCCTGCTTTGTCTTAGTAGATTACTGTATGACATTTCATCACATGACCTGGAGAATTTTGCTTTGTTGTTTAAAGTCATCGCAATCCAGCAATGACTGACTGTTATTGAGCTGATCCCCATTTCATCCATAACTTGAACCATGTTTGAGAGACAATGGGGCCTATTATAACATCTGAAACATCAAACGCGAAACGCAAGTAACTTTGTGGGCGGATCTTGGGCGCTGTTATAGCCTACCAGCGAGATTCTTGGGCGCGACGCAAATCTAAAATGAAGTAGCTACATTACTCATAGGTGTGGTTTGGGCCTAACATGAAATAAACCAATCAGAGTGACATCTCACATTCCCTTTAAGAGCAGGTGCGCATGTTCCATTGATTATAATGGAGGATTTGCCAAATGTGCGCCAGGAGCGCTTCACAACCGAGGAGAGCAACGTTCTCGTCAGGGCCGGATAAAGACATGACATTGTATGGGGCCCATCTCCCATAGAAACACACCCAAATTAGCTTTGTTCAAACAGGCGTTTAAAAATTTGTATAAATGTGTAAGCTATTTATGCCTATTTTTTTTACATCTTCATGGACACAACAATGATTCCCTCGTATGTGAATATCTTCCCTTGTAAAAATGTACATGGTTTTCTAAAAATGAGAACTGCTGCATCTGTGTGTAGATGAGAAAAGCAAAGTGCATGCGCGTTGTGCACACGCATTGATTATGGCCAAGCAGGCGCCCTTAAAATAGCATAACATGCGCAACGCGCCACTGACTTTAGACTAGGTTTTTCCTGGTCAGTGGCGTGATTGTTTTCTAAACCTGCAAAATAGCACCAGGGAACGTTTGCGTCTGTGGAGGGAAAAGTCCGCTGTGTGCAGGTGCAAAATAGGAATGATACATGCACCGAGGTACAAAGTCAATTGCGCTGGGTACAAGATAGTGCCCCAAGTGTTACTGTCTGTCAACTGCCCACAGTCTGGTTGCAATGTCCTTTTTTTACCTGGCAACAGAACCGGACCCCAAGATCCCATTTTAGAGACTAAAGTAAACGTTTGTTACTTAACAGCC